ACTACTTCCTTCACCACTTCTTACGTCGCGGACCTCTTTCCCTCCCTTCCCATAGCATTTTAGGATTGCAGATACCCTAATCTTATCGTCATAAACAGTCCCCACACTCCGGACTGCTCTCATTTACTGAGTGAAAATTTAAAAACGTACGTTTTCAGGAAAAGCACTTTGCAGGATTTTTTTCCCCTTTTTTCAAAACTTTTATTATTATTTTTATTTCATTAACATTTTAAGTTTCATAAAATGTCCATGGTAACGCAATATCTTTGGTAGTTTTCTTTTTAAAGAGCATCTTTAGTAGAAAAACACAAAATCCTGTCACGACCATAACGGACGTTTAAATGAATATTAAAAATAGTTAATATTATTTTTATAACTATGTTTTGCTATAAACTAATTTACTTTTATGACCATTATACAATAAAAAGGTCACTGAGCTTTTGGTATATTTGGTCTTTCTAGAAAAAAATTTAAAAAACTCAAAAAATAGAAAAAAGCCAATAAAATCTTTTAAAGTTTGTATATCTCCGAAAAAACTTACCTGAGACCCGAAAAATCGTTATGTTTGTATAGAGGTGTGCTTCTTTTGTGTATAAAACATTGAAATATGACGATATTTTAATTTTTTTAATTTTTATGATAGAAATCATAAACGTGATGGTCAGGGACAAGCGGTACGGTCGTGAATTGTCTGGAATAATCTAAATCTTTCCAAACAATCCTTCAATTATACTGTTATTTATAATAAAACTATGTGTTTCAATTGAACTAAACTGTTCAATTTACAATTATATTAAAGTTACTGTCACGACCAAACTCACTATAATCCATAAGGCTGGATTGGTCGTGAAAAAAACCGCGATGGTCGTGAAACTTTGGTCGTGAAATTACGTGTTATTTGGCTCTGTTCTGGCGGTAGCCCTGCACCTCATGTTCGAGGATACAAAGTGGACTTCTAGGTTGATCTAGCAATTGAAATATCTTATAAACAAAAATTAACACCATGTCTACTTCATCGAATGACTACGTACGGTCATGGACACACCAAAATTACAAAAAACACAATCTTTCCTTTATTAATCTTGTAATTCCTCCTTTCAACTCAAAACGACCGGCACTACAATCCTGACGTACACCCCGAACTAGTCTCTAAAACCAACTGACTCCATCGACGCCAGGCTTGCCACTGTCGTGCTCCAAAGTTGAAAAATTTTCCCAAATGGTCGTGACGCCAAATCGAGGGACAGACTTATTTTGTCATGGTAGTCAGTCTGCAATGACAATAAAATTATAATATACTCCTTTTTTGTAAGTTTAATAACCATTGATAACATAAAAATATGACTTTATATATTTCGGCATGAATAATTAGTCTAAAAACAGCGTGAAAGTTGGAAAATGTACCCTAGGGACACGTCATGGTCGTGAATTTCGAGACTTTAAAAATACGAAAAAAATACCTAGAACCTATTTAAAACTAAATAAATGTGTGTAACATGTTGCCCCCGTCCCAAAAAATATTAAAACACATAATAATAAACTACAAATCCAGTATCTACGAAGTAAAAGGCCAGGGACATGAAAACGTACGTTTTTAAATTTTCACTCTACTACTTCCTTCATATCACTTCCTACGTCACGGACCTGTTTCCCTCTATTCCCATAGCATTTTATGATTGCCTTTACTACTTCCTTCACTACTTCCTACGTCACGGACCTGTTTCCTTCCCTTCCCATAGCATTTTAGGATTGCAGATACCTTAATGTATTCGTCATAAACAGATCCTAGACTTCGCACTGCTACCCTTGACTACAATGTATCGAGTAATCTTAAGTATAATCTTTGCTCAATATTAACAAGTGATGTTTTTCCTTTTGTACTGTATTTGTAATTTCCTAGTATACTGTGGGTAGTTGGCTTATTATGAACACATGCTAAAACTTCAAATCTTTTGTTTACTTTTTACTTGTTATTTAATTCAGCCAACATGGTTACCTAGCAACCCATAAGACTAATGTTAAGAAAATGTGATTTTCAGTTTCATTTTTCTACGGATTCCTGAGAGACTTTTTTAACGCCATATAGATGTTGGCACTCACCGATATGGTCTTTATCACCATGCAAAATTTGAAAACGATTGATTCAGCCGTCTAGGAGGAGTTTGCGTATTACGAAATGCATAAAAGTCGACGTATAAGAGCTTCGCTCGCTTCGCTCGCTCCGCTCAATTAAGTAAACTTTTTTTATCATTTTTAAGAAGAAGAAAGGTTATTCTTAAGAAGAAAGAAATGTCCACAGACTTTTTATAAACAATTATATATTTTTGATATATTTTTACATTGACATTTTAGCCTGTACATTTGTGTAATGTTTTGGGCAATAAATATATTCTTTTCTATTCCGATTTTGAAAGAACTAGAAAAGATAATTATTTCAAAGTATATGCAAGGAGACAACCTCCACCGGAATGAGATCCGAAGAAGCAGGTTTACGCCAATACTGGGGCCAGAGCCGGGACTGAATAATAGACCAAGTCGCGAGGGAAATACATCCTGTGAATTGCGTTAAGGTCTTGTATTCGCCTCTGTGGGTTTTTGCTTTCACTTACAGTCTCGCCATATAATGAGAACTTCAACAACAACTAAATACATGTGTTACTATAGCAATCAAAATGGTCGGTTGATTTATACAGTATGTTTACTTAATTGGGATTAACAAATCTTTGATACAAAATATAATAGCCTACTAATAATATAAGTAAAGAAATCTGCTGCTGTTAGCTTGTTTATGGATATTTTTGGAACAAATTTGGCAAATTTCTTTTTTTCTTCCTAAACTATTAAAATAAAAAATTCCCCATCCCCGTAACAGTAAAAACCAGCACTCATTAAATAATGTTATTTTAATGGGAAATAAATATAGCTTGTTTATGGAAAAAGTAGTCAACTAAATAAAACTATCTTTAGCTTAATTTTGTATTTTGTTTTTGTAGGTTATATTAAAAGCAACTAATTAGATAGAGTTAAACATATTAGCAGCAACTTATTAAAAGCACAATATTAGGTATAGTACCTATTGTGTTCTACTGTGTAGCTACAAATAGTCCTTATGAGGGTGCATCTGTCTTAATTTTAAATCAATTCCAAGTGCTCGTAGAGTTGGTATTTTAACTGAGTTCTTTACAATAAAAAATTGGCTTCGTAAAAATTTCTTAAATTGTCACCCAGGCTTTTGTAAAACAAAGGGAATCTTATATAAGCAGTGCGACGACGGTTCTTGGGGAATTTCATTGAGGGATAGTTGGAGATCCAATAATGTGAGCTTCATTGTCGGGTGGTTCAGCAAACGAGATGGCATTCAACATTCACACATTCAACGCCGTTTCATACAATCCTCTGTACAACATCAATTCAATTTAGGCATTGAGGATTAATCAATTTGTTTAACAAAATAATATGATTAAAAATGTGTGGTGTTGACCAGTTTTAAGAACTTGTTACTGAACTTGTGATTGTCACCGATATTTCGTATTGCAAAAGTGAAAGAGTAACTGCAAGTCTGGAACGTCAAACAGACGTATGACTCAAAATGAATAAAACATCGATTATCGAGTTTTTGTCCTGAAAATATTGATGGTTTTGTGGCGATATCATCGGTACATCGATGGTTGACCTATTGATGTTCATCCCTAGTGTACAAGCGTCAATTGAGGTGAAATGAGCGTCAGTGGCAAATTAAAAACTTCAACAAGGAAACTGCCAAATAAAAAAGTGATTTAAATAATCTAGGTACTCTCCATAAGGTGGAATCTTATAATCACAATTATCGAACATAATCGGTGAAACTATTTTAAAATTTAATCCATCATCGTTTGATGATATAAAATCTATCTTGAATTTATATTACACACTGTGAAGATAAATTACAAATATGTCAATTGCCAATTTTTACCAGTTGACGGTGTAATTTTATCAGCCAGCTACGAAGAGCATGTTTTGATGAGGCAATACAGCCGTATTTGCTTCCAACAAGGTACTGTAGCTGGCCCGGATATATTGTACACAGGTGTGTTTCATTGTTTTCAACATCTGTTCCTTTTGTTATACCGCTTTCAAATGTATTACCCAGTTTGTACTGGAAAAAAGATTTTGCTATCAGAAAAGCCTCCTTGAAAATGGTTTGTATTCTTTAGCTCTGATTCGTGATAAGCAATCGATTGCCTATAGTACGACTCTCAAAATATTTCAATTCCTTTAACTATCGTTTGATCGTTTTAGTTAAGAGTTTCTTCCTTCACACACCTTCAGATAATTTATTATTCTCTATCTAAAAATGGTTTCAACGAACTAATTACAATTAATTTAAAAACCTCTTGTGTTTATTTTGTGTTAAAGCTGTAAATTAGTTACGTGTAACAAACCTGACATAATTTCATATAATTACCTCTTTTAACAAGCTGAGAGTTGTGGAGGATTTTTATAAGAAATAATACTGTTAAGTTGTTGATAATTTTAGTTATATTGGAAATAAGGAGAAATGTTAAAAGTGCAAGACATAAAACAACAATTTGTATGATGTTTCACAAGGGTTGTACTTTCTTTGTCTTTCTCAAAACGTGATTACGCTATGTACTAATTAAGTGTAAGTAGAGATTTCTACGACAGGCAATCCAAAACAGGAAATCTTTATAACTCACTCCATACGGTAAGCCATACTGTTTTTTCCCCTAAAAAATGTATGTTTTACATGTTCACTATTGTTTTCATTGGGCTTGAAATAAATGATCCTGATTAATGAATCAGCTGATCTTAGTCAGTAACAAAGCTACGATCTCATACCATTCTACACTCATCCTTCACTCATATTTGGGTTAAATTTTGATTGGTTTTGACTACTATCTTTTGCCCTGCTTAGTAACCACATTGGTTGAATTAAATAACAAGGAACAAGTAAAGAAAAGACTTGTAAGTTCTAACATGTGTTAATAATAAGGCATCTATCCACACTATGCTAGCAAATTACAAAATACAGTACAAAAGGAAAAACATAAGTTGTTACAATTGAGCAAAGATTACACTGAAGATAACTCGTTACATTGTAGTAAAGGCTAGCTGTGCGGGGTGTGGGAAGATACTAAAATGCTATGGGAAGAGATAGGAACAGGTCCAAAACTTAGGAAGTGGTGAAGGAAGTAGTAAAGGCTAGTAGTGCGGAGTGTGGGAACTGTTTGTGGCAATTAGATTAACGTAGGCCCTATCTGCAAATACTTAAATGCTATGAGAAGGGAAGGACACAGGTCCACGATGTAGGGAGTGGTGAAGGAAGTAGTAAAGGCTAGTAGTGCGGAGTGTGGGAACTGTTTGTGGCAATTAGATTAATGTATCGGCAATCCTAAAATGCGATGGGAAGGGAGGGAAACAGGTCCACGTAGTGTGGAGTGTGGGAATGGATTAATGTATCTGCAATACTAAGACTGCGCTCAGAGTAAACTAATGATTTTCGGTCCCCAGGAACTTTTAATTTAAACTAAATAAATATAGCCAACTGTTACCTTAGTCAATAGTGTAAAAATTAAAAGTATTGTTCAAATGTAAACAAATCTTTTCTGCATAAGGATAACATGGGAACTTTAAAGGCCGCTGGGGCAGAGCCCTGAGTTTTTCAAAATTGTATTTCACACAAACCTTCCTGGGGGTGTATAGAACAATTTACCCAATATTCGTTACAATCGAATGGCCGGTTTGGTAACGCATACAGGTCAAACAAACGACAAACATACGTTGGATTTTATATATATATTCGAACGGATGTTGTTTTGGACCGCCTAGGTCAAACTAAGAAATCTCTTGTCTAGTTTTGAACCAACAGCACTCAAAAAGTAAATTAAATCGATTGAAGAACAACTTGTTTTAGTCCACCTGAAACAAGAAAAACATAAATTGTAGACTATGCATATACTCGTAATTTTTCTAATCATTACACCATTAGACCATTACACCATTAGGGTATAAGCAAGCATTGAAATAAATTCTTTCATTGCTCTTCAACAAAAAATATTTATGATAAACATGCACCACTAGTAACAAAGAGAGTGACAAAGCAAAAAGCACCATGGAGGAATAATGAAATTATTATGGTAACAAAAATGAAAAATAAACTAAGAAGGAAATTTTCAAGATCAGGACAGGAGACTGGGTGGATGATAAAAAAGTAAGAAGCAAACTGAATGGGGCTGTATGGAAGGCAAAAAGAAAAATTTTCTCAGAAAAACTGACAGACTGTTAAGATAAAAGAACTTATTGGAAATTCCTTAAACAGAGTGATAAAGGCAGTAAAGGCAGAAAAGGGCAGAAATAATGGAAGCCGTGTGCAGGGCGCAGACTTGTAACCTCATCCTCCGAGTCTTGGTTCAGCAAGAGCCTAAGTACTTGGTGGAAAGGCTTGTGGCATGTGGGGAGGTGACCCAATGCGAGACCCGGCACAACACCTTGTTCCACTTTCAAAAGTGCACCTGGAAGTGGGTAGGAAAGAGTTTTCCTACTTTGGCCCAAAGATCTACAATGATCTCCCCTTGGACCTAAAACAGCTGGTGGTCCTGGTTTAAAAAAGAAACTTAAAAAAAATGTATTAACAATAAATAGTTGTATATATAACTTATGTATATTTAATATTTGTATTTAATCACACAATGTATTTTATTATAATAGTTGTATTGTATTTTTAGTTAGGCCTACTATTTGACCTGAGCTACTCTGTAAAACAGTTGAATTGTACTGAGAGACGCTCGGAAATAAAGGCATTTTTATTAAATCTGCTTTCTACACAGTAAATCTAGTTCTTTGATCGTGGTTTAAACTCTAAACCCGGATTTATTTTCACTTCCGACTCTCACCATCCTTTATTCTTCAGACAAACCTAGAAGAAATTGAAAAGTTTTTAACTAGATGGAGGTAATAAACAAGAATCTACAATGCTTCATAACTCTTGCGTACATATGGTTATTTTGCTATGACATGTTTTAGAGTAAATTATACGGTGTAAGTAAAAATGCTACATTAGACCCGCAAGGCATGCATTAAAAACGTCTGTTTTCACTGCAGTATGACGAAAATAGCTTAAGTAATTCATAGATTTAAAACAGATGGATTTAAAAAATGTTCCAACTCCAGGCCATTTCAACACTAACGACCTTTTGAAAATATTTGGAAGATCAGCGAATAATCAATAAACCATTTACCTTGAAAGACTAAATTTGCATGATCAGAAACAACATGGTTTCAGACAAAATCGGTCTTTAATTACTGCTAGGATTAAATTTTATAGATTCAGTTATTTACTCAACATACAAAATGTAGTAATTTATTTCATTCAGATATCTTGTGATAGAAAGTACTTTGTTACCTTACATTATCCTTGGATTTCTGGTCAAACTACATGTTATGTGGCGACTGCCGCATCTTCAGGTTTATCCCCTTCTACACTTTGTCATACACATGTCAAATGGAACACAAAACACACGTAGAGCAACGACCAAACCTGTTCATGCACCATGACTTTGATCGTATTGATGTACAGTCTTTATTGTTTACTTGTCTATTTCATGTGAAGTGGATTGAACCTGAAGATGTGTCATTTGCTACAAAACATGTAGTTTGACCAGACATTCTAGGATGTTTCAAAGTAACAAAATACGGTACTTTCTATCAATATCCAGAGGCAGGGCAAGGCTACACACAAAAACAGGCCTTAATGTGTGCCGTTTGTGATCAGCTGCTTGTTTTAATCTTTTCATCTTTTATTCACATTACTTCATTGCCGTCTTCTATCGTGACTTCATGCTTGACGAGCATTACGGCTTGTTTTTTTTTTAGTGTGGCAGGGCAATGAATTCTAAAATATCTTTTAATCAGATGTGTTCTCAAAGTAAAAGATCTCATTCACTCTTTTGTTTTTACCGAGTAAAGTAAAAATATATAAAAATATAAATTATAATGATACTTATACAAATACTACAGTATTATATATCTGCCCGTGCTTCGCCAAGGGGTGAGAATGCAGAAAAGGATAATTTGTTTTTTTTTTTATCTACTATTAGGAAACAGTTACAACACACCAAGAAACATAATAGACAAAGCTCAATCATACTTATTGTTTAAAGTTAATGTATTGCCAGAATTTATACTGTGTATTGATTTAAAATATGAGCAAAAGTCTAATTCATTGACCACATGGCACCAAGAAACAAATCTTCGTATAAACAACGAAACATACAATTAATTTACATCACATGTTTTAAATTTTACTTTCATATGTTTTGTTAGTCAACAAATCTAACTGAAATTCTTTCACGATCCCTGACATGGGTACCTATAAGACAGCCCCGGGGCTAAGCCCTGAAAGCTATCACAAAATTGATGGGGTATATAAGCCTACTCCATGAAATTCTACAAGTACCGTATGTACCAAGTTGCCTGGCTATTGGTCCAGCGGGTGTCTGAGTTTATCACTGCCAAATATATTTATACAAACCAATATCCTCTTTTATACTTATAGATATAAACAAACAAAAATCTCTCATATAAAGACTTTTTACTAAGTTAATTTTGAACATGTTCATGTTTACAGTGCTTTTGCTACTCTAGTTCAGGCAAAAAATTCAAAAGAGCTTCGCCTAATTTTTTCTTCTTCACTTCTTCTTTCTTTGGAACAAGGGAGTAAATGTTAGGTTCTACACGAACCTGTAAAGTTAAAAAATGAGTTTAAAACATTTACAGTGTGCGATAAGGTTTCCAACATTTTATTGCAAACGTAGTGCATTGAAAACAAATATCTTGTTGCGATTTATATTTTCAACTGGCTACATATATTTGATGTCCGGTAACTTTAGGTAGAACCCATAACTATTTAGATCTTTGGGGCAAAACCGTGAAGAGGAATTGAGGGCAACTTTTCCTCACTTGTTAAAAGTCGCTTTGAAGTACCACCTTGACAATTCATTTTTCTCCAGTTTAAATTAATAGTGGTGTTTTTGTTTTTCATCTGAAATGATGACAAATCAATCAATCAGAATGTATTTATTCTCAAGCGCTTCTTAGTACCAAACTGATTTACAAAATAACTCAAGTCAAACGATTACTAATCACGAAACTAAAATAGAATTTGTGCGCCACCGGTGACATGTGCGTGTGCATACTTTGAACTGAATCCCAAAGCAGGGTAGCTTTAGAATGGAGTGAGATGATCTGAGCAGCTTTGTTACAGACTAAGATCAGCTGTTTCTTCGGCTACGACAATTTATTACAACCCAATGAGAAAAGGACAGCTGAGTCTGGTGCACTATCAAAAAGCTACTGACATCACTCAGAATGGAACCGAGGAAATGATCAATTAACCGTACTAAGCAAGCCATACAACCACTTCGCTACCCAGCTTCCTAAAGTAGAATGAATGTTTTGAACTAAAACTTGAAGAGTGTGTTTTCTCACCATGATCTGATTGATGTAGTACTCGTATGGAATGTTACCAGACTCTGGGTTCACAGCTACAGCCATCATCTCGTCCACTTCTTCCTGTGTGAATGGTTCTCCTTCCTCCATCATGGCTCTGCAGATGAATACTTCGTATAGGAAGTAGCAAATGGGTTACCAGGATTAAAAAGAATTTAATCCAACAACAAAATAAACATAAAACGATTACTATTCAGTCCTAGAGAGGATAGTGATAAAAACACACATTATGTTTTTACTTCTGCATTTCAGAGTCTCTGAATGTAAAACAGCAAAAAAAAAGACATTACATTATTGATACATTATTGGGCATATCACTTAAAAGCTGCGTCGAAACATCCCATCAAAATCTTTTACACAAAATTATTTGGGTCAGTGCATTCATCTTCAGAAAATCAACTTGATGATAAAACACATACACAAAGCTTTCTCAATTTCAAATTGCAATATACGGGAAAATGGATGCTGAACTATGGATGTTCAAAATAGGAGTATTTTACTAAAATTAAGTTTAAAGTTCTGTGTCAAGGTTATCGAGGAGAAAGTAAGATGGCTAGAAATCTTACTTGAGTTTAGACAAGAATCATTAAATGTTTCCTGTGGCTCTATATTTCTTCATTACCAAGTTTTTTGTTATCTTAACAAATTTTAAAGATAAATAAGTATATAATAAACTATGTACCATTTTGTGACGCTTCAAAAACATAAATTTTAATATTTTTTTGTCTGTATTAATTGTTTGTCGCTTTAGGACATACTGTAACAAATATACCGACTTATGTAAGTTTTAAGATTTTGCACATACTTTTAGAACTTACAAGAGTTCATCCTGCACTGCTGTCTTTATGTAATTGTTATGCCAGGTAAAATATCCACTGTTAACTTGAGATTTTATTTTATTTTTAACAAATTTATACTATAGCTTGTTACTCAAATGATAGTTGAAAATTTAAAATATATCTAAGTACCTGGCTGTGCCTCTCTTTTCAAGAAGCCTTTTCCTTCTTTATCCAACGTTGAAAATTGAAAATATATCTAAGTACCTGGCTGTTGCCTCTCTTTCCAAGAAGCCTTTTCCTTCTTTATCCAAGGTCTGGAACGCTTTCAAAAGTTCTTCAGGAGATGCTGGCTGTAATCTACATCACAGAAATGGTTTTAGCTCTATAGTACAGGTAAAATAATACAAATACACTCCATATAAACAACAAAATTTGTACATTCATGAAATTTCACCCGTAAGTTACTAATAATATGAGAAATGGAGATCCGATGAGTCCCCAAAATTTTGGGCGTCCTAAGGCCCTTTTTGTTCCGAAGGACCCTTGTTCCTGAATAATTTTGTTTTTACGTTTAAGGTCGAGTGAGGTGTGGTTTTCGATGGTTTTAGTTATTTTGAATCGATTGGGACTAGTTTTAAGTGTATTAAACCACTCCTTACAGGGTGTTTCGAAATATAAATACTTTTTACGATATTTAAAGATTTATTCATAAAGTAATAAAATTAGTTACCTCCATGCTCTATATAAAAGGTGATTATTGAAAATAACTTAAATTCTTTACTATATAAGGAGGGAAGGATCACAAGGAGTAAGAGAAAATATTAAATACGCCCGTCACAGCAAACCTGCAGACCAAGCGAATTTTCATTTGTCCGATTATTAATTAAATCTACAGTAAAATAGCATTGAGTTTAGTATAAAACAAATATATTTGACAAGTTTTATTAAGACATATCTATAAACAAACAAACAAAATCATTTTACACTATTCTCCTTAAGAATAACATGGAATTTTAAATTTACAATTTTTGAATTTCATTCGTAACTAATACACTTACAAAATATACTAAATTATTTGTTTTCTTTAAGCTCTTTAAAATGCTCTAGAGAAAAATTGGGAAACTTTGTGTTTTGAGGGTCAAAGATTACCATTTTTTACCACATAAAACCCTGTTCCATGGACTGATTATGCCGGTTTTGTTAAAATAAACCAAAATTACTCGAGTTATCATGTTTACGGACACGTATATATACATGACATATTTACACATTTATATTTACACATGGATACATTTATATCACATAAATACACATACACACACATATGACATGGACATGGATATATTTATATCATATCATATATATACTTGTGGATGGTGCTTTAGGCTTCTGGGGGGCATAGAAATGAAAACGTAAATCGGTTTCGGGTCTATGTTTTATCATAAGACCTTCAGTAATAGCTTATATCCTATATGGGAAGTTAAGTTAAGTTTTACACTATAACATTATAACATAGGTTACTACGCAAAAATCTCACCTTTTAAGGTGGTGTGAATAATCTTTCAATGTGTTTTTTATGCAAATCTATTAAGACCAATTTCAAATTGATATGTATTTTTCTTAGGTAGTTATTTAAGTTATTTTTTTTTACATTTATTAAAAATTAAAACAATTGTATTTGTATTAAGCCTTACATTACATATTAAAATGACTTAAAATAAAAATTTACTTAAACTAAAGCTATTTTTCTAAAATTTCCGTAGTATATCTCTTTACAATTTCATTATCACCATAATTATTCTCAGACCACTCATTAATAATTTTATTATTCTTAGCAACTTGTCCATCTTTACTGATTTTGTCCAAGTTGGTGTTCAAGCGGGATTCCCCCTTACAAAACAAACCTTGCATATTGCAGAACAGGCAACACCAATATTAAAGCACGAACAATGTGGTTCAATAACACCTTTCATACATACTGACGTTTGCAACTTGTATCTTAAGTTCCTAAAAATTATTTTCAATCAATACAAGTACGGTTGTCTTTGATGGTTATGACGACCAGGACAGCACTAAGACATCAGAGCAGCATTGTCGGTACAAGCATTTTTGTCCTGAACAATGGGAACGAGGTTTATGGGGTAAAAATTGAGTTTTCTCATTTCCTTTACCCTAAAAACACAAAGTTTCCCAATTTTTCTCTAGAACATTTAAAATAGCTTAAAAACAAATATTTTAGTATATGAAAAAAATCTTAAAAAATCTTAACGTGTTTTTGTATGGTTATTAGTTAGGGATAAAAATACTAAAATCGTAAATTTAAAATTCCCATGTTATTCTTATGTAGAATAGTGTAAAATGATTTTGTTTGTTTGTTAATAGATATATCTTTGATCAAACTTGTCAAATTTATTTGTTTTATACTAGGCTATTAATTTTTTACCATAAACACACTTTATTAGCCTCCTTGTAGCAGCAAACCTAGGTAATCGTTAAACGCAATGCTATTTTAGATTTAATTGAAAATCAAGTAAGTAAAACGGAAATTCGCTAGGTCTGCAGGTTTGCTGTGACTGGGGTATTTAATATCTTCTCTTACTCCTTGTGATCCTTTTCCCTTACATAGTAAAGAGTAACAATTATTTTCAATAATCCCCTTTTATATAGAGCATGGAGTTAACTAGTTTGATTACTTTATGAATAAATGTTTAAATATCGTAAAAAGTAATAACATTTCGAAACACCCTGTATGGAGTGGCTTAATACACTTAAAACTAGTCCCAATCGATTTAAAATAACTTAATCCATCAGAAACCACACCTCACTCGACCTTAAACGTAAAAACAAAATTATTCAGGAACAAAAAGTAACAAAAACCCTTCGGAACAAAAAGGGCCCCAAAAAGGGCCTTAGGACGCCCAAAATTTTGGGGACTCATCGGATCTTCATTTCTCATATTATTAGTAACTCACAGGTGAAATTTCATTAATGTACAAATTTTGTTGTTTATAAAACCCTATTTTTCCTGTACTACTATACCTTTATGATAATATGAGTGAGATTATCTGTTTTTAGCAGAGTTCCCAGTTAGGGAATACGCTATTTACCATAGGTCTCTTGGTAAGAACTAGCCCCGGCAACAATTGACTTTTTTGTTTTTAGGTGCCCAGAGCCAGAAAAACCATTTGATATGTAAGCCTATGTTTGTTCGAACGAGTTCGCGAACCAGCATGATCAATCTATGGGAATGGTTGTTTTATAGGGTAAAAATGGGTCAATACCATTGGAGCATAAAAAATAATTATTACATTGAAGTGTAATTGTACCCATACGTACATTTAATTAAGGAAAAAGTTGAAAAACTTTACATTTGAAATCTATGTTATTCATATGGAGAATAAGTACACTGTTGTGGTTTGTTTGTTTAATGGACATATAACACCCAAATTTGGGTTTTTTTCCTTTTATACCAAGCAATAGACATTTTACTAACACACACTTTATTACCTTCCTTGTAACAGCAAACCTAAGTACTCGTTAAACACTGCTCATAATAGCTAGATACTTAAAACTTTCCTATTATATTCCTATTATTTTGTTGAGACCCACTAAGAAACTGTTTTCCTCTACGAGCCACTAGCAATTTTAGAGATTTATATACTTGTTATTGTTAGTATTGTTTCAGTAGCTTATGCACTGTTGAATATTGTATAAGATTATTGTCGCCGATTTTTGTGAGAATTTGAAGTATAATCTAAAGATGTTGCGACAATTTGGACCTGATTATGCAAATAAGGCAAACAATAGGCGCAAAAGAATGGCAAACAGAAATGAAGGTTCATTTATAAATTTCGGCGCAATAACGAGGAGATGTCGTCACGGGATAACGTGGACTCTGTACGGACATTGGGCCTTATGCATAAAAAAGAGTATTTGCTCAAAAGGAAAAGGTAGAAGTAAAAGCATTTGGTTCTAGTAAAAGGTAGAAGTAAAAGCATATCCCTCAAACCATATTAATAATGATTACCTTTTACTTGTGAGCATTTCCTTCTGCTCGAAAGTAAATGGACCTTTAGGAACATCGCATGCGTCGTCAGTCTATTTTAATGTGCCTAGCCGTCACATATATGTGAAGGCAGTCTATGGGTAGAAACCGGCCTTCACATATGTGCGTCGCTGGTCTATATGAACGAAAAATGTTGTACTATTGCGGTAGCAAACGTGTTAATCAGCTGTTTAGACTGTTGAGCTTATTAGTCAGGTTAAATATATTTCTGATCCTGTCTATTTTTGTGCCAACGCTATTTTTGTGTGTGGTGGTTTTGTATCCGGTTTTGAATTTAATTATAACAAACTAAGTTATAAAACTCAGAGGGTACGGGGTGGAATTTTACCCCCGGAATCTTAACCCCTTTGCAGATACAGAATTTGGTTTATGATAGTAAATAGTCATGTACAAAAAAGGCCTGTTTATAGAAATCATCGTATTATACCATAGATTATACATAGTTTACAAAATGTTGCTTTGTAGATAGCATACAGTACTGTATAAGATAGATTAAAGGAGTAGACATTTACCACCAGACTAAAGCTCCTTTAGGCAGGACAATTAATGTTGCGAAATAAGAAGTTTTCATAGTTTAACTCCAATGAACAAATGTTCAATTTGAGTGAAAACAAATTAATTAATTCAATAACAATACATTTGATTTTCCAATTGTATCCATGTTTTCCTCTTTCAGGTAATTCATCTTCATATTACCTGGAATACAAGGATGTATTATTGCAGGCTCGCGATTCGCTTGTAACGCTTTATGGGCCCCAGAGATAATTGCGCCCCCTGGACCGGGGACCACCGCCCATTTACTAAGGCGACCTTGGGTAATACATATTTTTTTAAATAGGTTTTTAATTTAAATTGTCACAACAGAGTTGTACGTAAAAATCAACGTACTGATGGCGTATGCCAGTATAATTTCACCAGATTTATCGACACGGAAATTTTCCTTCATACTAGCCTTACTTACTTAAACTCCGAGATGATTTGTGAGACGACAGGCAGAAAGTTTGCTAAAGTGACACTCCCAGAAGTTTCTTGATCCTCTACCCTTACAATGATCTCCTGAACTTCTGCTTCGCTGGGGCAGCATCCTGTGAGACAAATCTACAACTTAATATTCCATTTCTATATTGAAGTTTCAAGAGTAACTCGGATACATTTATGGAGGACCAATCTACCCACAATCACAACACAAGACACATAAGTTTAGTAAAACATGTGCAGCACTAGAACAGAAAATCTTTTGTATTTATCCCCCATTATTGGACCCAAAATTTATAATACACTGCCTTCAGAAGACATTATTAGTGTTTCTAAAATTAAGAAAACTCTAAAGATATGCCTGCTGGAGAAGGTGTTTTAGTCAGTTGAAGATATACTGGATTATTTTATTGGGAATTATTTTTGTTGAAAACATATTTGAGTTTTTAGACTGACAAAACACCTGCCAAAACTTTGATGTAATGAGATTAGAATTATTAAACAAATTAATGAAATAAATATTTGTCATCTGAAGTTGGAGCTTTATTTCACACACCTGCCTCTCATAATAAGTCCTCAAAATAAACCCGTAGTAAATAAATTCAATTTTGAAACTGATAATCCATTGCTATTGATGGGCTGCAGAAAATGTTTATGAGGAGGAGAAAGGGAGATGGAATGTAGAATTATAAGAGTATGTAGAAGATTGTAGATAAGGCTTGTTAGACAATAGGACCACATGCAGTTTTTTTTTGGCTCCACAACATCTAAAAATCAAGCAGTGGTTATTAATATCATCTGACGATGCAACGGTTCATAATGAAAACATAGGAACTTCAAAAGCCCATAGTTGAACCTCTGACTTGAGTAAAATATATATATTTCTCTGTATTCATCTTCCATTGACAAATACCCTGGGTACAGGCAAGGCCACACTAAAAAAACAGGCCGTAATGCTCGTCAAGCATGACGTCACGATAGAAGACGGCAATGACGTAGATATTATTTAGGTATATTTATTTATTTTCCAAGGAAAGATTAAAAGAAGCAGCTGACCACAAACGGCAAACATTACGACATTGCCGTCTTCTATTGTCACGTCATGCTTGACGAGCATTACCGGTACGGCCTGTTTTTTCAGTGTGGTCTCGGTACAGGGGTAATACAGTGGAGCCCCGCTATCTTGAAAGTCTTGCTTTTTAAACTAAGTTTGGAAATAATTTCATTGTTTGTTTACATTAGTACAAAGTTTAACATGCCACTGCAAACGTCGTAAAAGCTAGTGAAGTCGTCGCCAATGTCAGAAAAGCTTGCTATATCGGAAAAGCTTGCAATGTTGCCGCGAGCGTTGAAGGATCTAGCAAAATGTAATGTCCTGAACATCGCCAAAGCTGGCAGTATTGCCAAAATTAGCGATAATGATGTGTTTTGGGCAATTAATGCCAAGAATGCTGAAGATTCTCGCATTGATTTTTCTTTTTGAGAGAGAGAGAGAGAGATGATGCCTGAAATTCCCTAGAGTAAAGTTATGATGGTGCAAAGACAGCAACAAAACAGTACAACAAACAAGTACAACAACAGAACAATATCAAACAATTACAACTACGATTACAATCGGTCAATATCTCTAGGAACAGTGTCAAAGCCAGCAAACAAGAAGATGGGCAAAAGTAGTCACATAACTACAAACATGGGTGAAATCTTACTACATGAACAGTATAGAAGTTTTCAATAGACTAAAATATCACAGCAATCTTGTTATCGTTTCTTGTGAATGGCTACTTTGTTATCACCTTCCTGATACACTACAACATTGTTATTATCTCTTGTGATTGCAGCCAAAACACCAACATCTTTTACAATCACAGCTACACAAACAACATGTTAACCGTTAAAATTTGGCTTTCAATATGTTGACATTAATTATAAAAGAAATCCGCTTATTCAGAATCCGTGTGAATCTGAACATTGTTTTGTTTAAATTAGTTCGGAATAGCAGTACTCTACAGTAAATATGTTTTTCCTACAGTTACCTAACAATGTACATGTTCTCTCACTGATTTGAGAAAGCAAAGTGGCCAATTCGCTCATCAGTGAGACAATGTTAACATTGTCTCACTCTAATTACTTTGTCTAACTCCAGATTTGCAACGTGAAGACACGAAATAGTGAGCGCGTAACATGCAGGCAACGTCGTATGCGCGCGAAATACGTTGGCAGCACTGGCTGTAAATCAGCTGGTCAGCTGTTGTACTGTTGTATTTGTCACTTCACATTAAATGTTATATGAAAGTTTACTTCCGTGTAAAAATAGGTTATGTTTCTTCACAAATTTATTTGTTTTATGGTAACTGTAGGAAAAGTATAATGTGCAACTCGAGTTCAAAGTACAATTGCCTCACTCGAGAAACCATTCCTCACTCGCCTACGGCTTGTGAGTAAAGATTTCTCTCGAGTGAGTCAATTGCTCACTTTTCTCACTAGTTGCACAAATAACTATAGTTTACCACTTCTCTTTCATATAATAGTATATTAATAATTATTACTCATTACTTAATTTTATTAGCCAATATAGTTTTTGTCATAGCTTTCAAAAGACTTATTTTCTTCTACTCTTACCTAAAGATCGAATTATAGTTCCAACTTCCCTGACATCAACCGTTTTGTTTCCTCCGTGGTCAAAAACCTCAAACGCTTCAGCAATCCTCCGTTCTAGATCATTTGTGATTGCCACTGGGAAAAACAACCAGTATTAAATTGTAATCTAAGGCCCCTATTACACGAGGTAGCCTGGCGACGTCGCCAGCGGCAGTAGCTGGCGACGCACTGGCCACCAAACCTATAACCAGTTGGGTAGCCAGTTGAGTAGCCAGAATTTTACCGCCGTGGCGCCGTTGTTGTGAGTGCTTGTCTTGCACTTGTACTTGTTATGAGCGGTGTTTACAGTGAATAATGAGTGATTATAAGTATCTTCTCCTTCTGTTACTTCTGAAGAAAAGGAGGCAAAGGAAGAGAAAAATGTACGTTCATCCAATGCTTAGTGCAAGAGAATCAAAAGGGTTATATTACACCCTTTTTGATGAGCTCTGTGCGGACAATAAAAAATGTTTCAATTATTTTCGTATGTCACAATCCAGTTTCTTCGAGTCATAAAGGATGATATAGACATTTTATCAACTGAAGTGAACAATTCACACACACACAACACAACAGAACGCAACACAACAGTGTGCAAGTACCCCCGTGATATGAACTAACCGAGTGGCGACGTGATACTGGCGACCTAGTGTAATAAGCTCCATATGCTACAACGCAGCGTCGCCAATATGGGTAGCCAGTGGCTACCACAGTGGCGACGGGGCTCGGTAGCCAGTCGGTCGCCAAAGTGTGGCTGCGTCGCTGGCTACCCTCGTGTAATAACATCCATAAGAATCAATGCCCCATGACAAGCTGAGTAGCCAGTTTGGTCGCTGGCGACGTCGCCAGGCTACCTAGTGTAATAGGGGCCTAAGAAAGATGCATCTAGTACAAATTGAATCTAATTAAAATTTATATAATATTCTTTTTAGATATTCATCACCTCATAAGAATTTTTCACAAACAATGGACTAAAAATTTATAATCAAGTGTCTACAGAAACAGTTTAGGCCTAAAGATAGAATACGATTTTCTTATATTCAGTAAACTTAAGTAAGACATTTACTAAATAGTCAAAGGTTATAGAAAAAAACAAGTTTGAAGAAATGTATAGCACTCTGTAGTCTAGTCTTCATGTTAGTTTTGCATTAGATTCACTAGCATTCTTATAACTACAGTAGGTAGGTAATAAAAATGTATTAATTTTATTTAGCCTACTTGTTTGGAGTTATTTTGTAATCCCTTGTAGATAATCTCAAAACTTCATATTTCATCTCGTACCATTGACTTGGTGTTTTGGTACTTACCATCCACATTTGGTAAGCTCATTGTAGTTGTTGTTCCCAGGTCACTTCAAGCCTAGATAAAATTACACAAAATTACCAATTATCATTGTTTTATTTCAACTTAAGTATTAATTTTCATAAAAATGTATTTTTAATATAACAGAAACAACCAAACATTTGGTAAATCTCATATCAGCATATGTTAGGTCTTAGTAAAATTTGGAGCACACGTAATAGGGTTGGTTAAAGAACAGTTGATTAATGAAATTGTATAAACAAAACAACCTGTAATAACAAAAAATATTGCAATATTAGACCATTTGACTTCAGTTATAGTCAATATACTTAAAATGGTCTTACCTTAAACATCCATGGTGGAAGGAAAAAAACATAGGTGTGCTATTCCCACAAATTCTGACGTCACTCGGATTGCAAACAAAAGATCACCTGCTTGTAACTGTCAAATTAGTACATGTATTTGTTTTGATTTGGTTGTTATTGTTTTTATTATTATAAAATGTACAAAAAAATGTACAGTTAAAAAATGTAAAGTTACAAGCAGGTGATCTTTTGTTTGCAATCCGAGTGACGTCAGAATTTGTGGGAATAGCACACCTATGTTTTTTCCTTCCACCATGTTAAACATCCGTATTTAATATTGCTTTTCCAAAGTGTACTTTAAGTAATAAAACATGAATGAATGAAAGGAAGGATAAGTATTGTATACTTTTGGTTAACCAACCACAACCTAAACTATTTTTAAAAATTTGAAATGTTAATTTAGCATTTTTATAGGCCTACACGTATTCAAGAATTTGAGAATCTTCATATATTTATGTGGAAGATTTTAACTAGCCTCCAGTATGGTTTGGATGTTTGCATGCTCAAGATGATTTGATTTGATTTGATTTTGATTTTGATTAGATTTTGATTTGATTTTGATTTAATTTGATATATTTGATTTATCGGGCAATTCTCAGACAGGCTACCAAAATGTCATATGTCCTTCAAAAGAATCTAAAAACAGGTAATAGCCTGTGTGGTGAAAAGGTTTAAAATTACTCATTTCAGCAATAGTTTCTTACTGTAACAATTTAAATAGGTACTTATACTCCGTTTGCAAAATTTAGGCAGTTTAGAGAAAAAATCTATCCTTTCTACTTGATCCTGCCTTTAAAACTAATAGCTCAACAGCTGAGGTTTGTCAAATTGTGAATCAGCTGCAACATACATACTAAGCAAAAAAATTAGTCCAGGAACCCCCAAACCACCTAAATTGTATGCACGGACTATAGGCCTAATAATACATTAATATTTAGTAACGAATAGAATACCTCCACAACACTGAAGAGGTTCCAAAATTGAAGGCTTCTATTGACAAATCAACCTCCTTGTTGCTAGGGTGCTGAGACATGGGCACTTGCATCTCTTTGCTTCATTACTGTGTTTTGATGCAAGTTGGTTACGAAGTTGTACAATATTGAATTTTGTTAAGCATGAGTAGAGGCCTACTATTATTCTTTAAGAAAACGAGATATCATTCGAACCCGCAAAAGGCACATCTAGAGGATAAGAGCTTTAAATTGATATCCAATATGCATATAAAAATAAATATTTAGTGGTTGATTTGCTACACACAAAAATCCAACAAATTCTTTTAATAATATAGATATGCATAAACGTTATTTTGAATTAGGCTAGATTGTTTAGAATATTTAATTATAACTGAGTGTCCCACTAAAACGTTGCTATTTTTGAAATAACACACTTGTAGCACTTGTTACAAATTTGAAACTCTGTAATACTTGTAATAAATACATATTTAAAAAAATATATATATCAAAGCCTCTTTTGATTCTGATTAATCAGAAAAAAACGGCAGTACAAATAAATTACATTTAAATTACAAAAGATTTTCATAACAATTTATGGACATCGGTTTGAAGGATTATGAATAAAGATAATTTAATTTATGATTCACCACTATCCAATCCCATTACTGTACTTACTGTTTTGTTTACTCAGTAACATTGTAAAAAATCCATCATTAATTCTGTTTCTAAAACAAATTAGCAAATGAAAAAACTAATAGAGCCTGCTAACGGCATTTGATTTCCTCAAAAATTATAAATAAAAATCCTATACTCTTGTATGAGCAATGTTTGCTTGTATACATGTGTATGTATGTACGCTTGCATTAAGATCTCGAAAACAACTTCGACGATTTCCTTCAAATGCTGTAAATATAATATTTCTGGCCTAAAAACATGTATAACGCTGTTAAAACATTGGCTTTATTGGTTGCCAAGTAACCATATTGGTTGGACCAAATAACAAGGAAAAAGTAATCAAAAGACTTGTAACATGTGTCTATAACAAACCATCTACAGATACTAGCAAATTACAAAATACAGTACAAAGGGGAAAACATCAGTTGTTTACTACTGAGCAAAGATTACACTGAAGATGACTTGATACAGGTGAATATAGCTCCGATCAAAAATACTGATTACTGTAAAGTCAAACCTCGTTAGTACGAACCTCGGTAAAAAAATTCCTCTATGAGACAATTTTTTTTAAATCCCCTTGAAACTATCATAAAGGTCAATGTCAATGCCAAAAACACCTCTGTACAACATAGTAATTAGGTTGAAAACCTCCATAAGAATTTGATTGTGACATGGACTAGGACTAATTGACCTCACAACAAATATTCTTCGCACTAAACCTCTACAAGATGAATGTGACTTCTATAAGACAAATTTCTCATGATCTTGACCTCCATAGTACGTAGTTTTCAAAACAAACAGAAGATTGTCTCAACATGAAACCCCCACCCATTCCTCTTCCTTCCTCAGTCATTGTATCAGAGTGAGGATAAACCTCTATAAGACGAATAACGGCAGTATTAACCTTGCCTCTTTATTAAGAATACCTTGATAACACAAATTTTACCACCATCCCTTGAAATTCATCTTGAAGAGGTTCGACTGTATTTTACTTGACCCTCTCCTATCAAAACTTAATCCCCGAAGTACTGAGGCAACTTTTAGCAAACTTTGGTTTTAAAAGTGAAATAAATATTTTAAAATATTATATTTATTTTGTATTAATTGGATTAAAACAAAAATTTGCAATTAGTTGTTTTAATTTGAACAAACTGCCAAAACAATGTTTGTGAAAGTATAGGCTTTTAAACGAGTGAGTTTTCCATCGACAGTAAAATAAATTAATGCGTTGTAATTTTCAGGTTAAAATTCCCATCATAATAAAATAAATTGAAATTCCACGGAAACTTCCACTGAAAAGCCAAAATTAGTTGTAAATAAAAAGTGAGTTTCCTTTTTATTGCTTTCAGTAATAAACTACACCGAACCATGGCTCGATCCCCAGGTACTATAAATATAATGGTACTAATAATTTCCATAACATTCAAAAGAACTCTTAAAACTTTTGTTTTTTTTATAAAATGTGTCAAAATATTACATAATAAAACCAACAATCGGAAAATAAATTTATTTCAACTGTTCAAAACAGTAAAGGTATCACAGATTTTTCATGCTGAGAAGTAATTTAGACTATTTAATTAAAGGAGATAAAAATCAATTTCCATTCTCCAACACAAATACTTTGATTTACAAACCAAGACTTAATATTAAAATAAAAATACAACAAACAGTTGAGTACATTTGACTATCAATAGTCAATGGTAGAACTCAATAAAATACAACTTTCAACCATTCTAAAGATGCAGAAAAATAAATATTTACAACTCAAGCTAGCAGATTAGCTGTATAACACAGTAGAACCTCTTTCGGCATTTCAATCTGGTCAGGTGATCGAACCAACTTGAAACAGGTAAACCAACCTCAATTATCATTTCAGAATTCATGATTATTCACTTTAAACTAAACCATATTCTCATTTTACATAGTTTGTTGGAAAAACGCTCAACTCAAATCACTTGACAATAGGTTAGTAAAGCTATTACAGACCTACTACAGTAACTCAAATAACTAAATAAGAGCTTGTAAGAGATTTGTATTGATATCAAATAACTATTGATGGTTTGTGACTCAAGTCTACTTTCTGTTGTTAGCCGTGATGAATAAATTTTATTTTTTTAGTACGAGAAGCAGCTGGATTAATTGAGGACCAGAAAACTTGAGGCTGAATGTGAGGGGTTCTACTGTGATGACACAATATCAAAGTTCATTTTCTACTACTGTATTAGCTAAAAAATGCACAGGGTATAAATGCAAAGTAAAACATAACAACTTGGGACTAGACATAAACAAACAGTGTTTATCTTACAGCACAGTAAGGGTATTTAGATTTGAGGTTTTTTCAATGAATAGGCTTAAAAGCAGTCATACCTTGCCGATGAAAATAGAAGGGATGGTCCCAAAATTTCGGGAAATTTTCGGGAAAAAATATTCCCGATTTTCGGGATTACATTTGATTAGGGAATTTTTCGGGACAGGATTTGCCGCTTTGTGGAGTCGTACCGACGATCATACCGTGACGGCAGTCATACCGACGATGACGCCGTGGCCGCGGAGTAATACTGACGACCATGCCATGACCGCGGAGTCATACCGACGATCCCGCCGTGACCAGGAATCATTTTGACCATTGCACCGTGACCGCGAGTCAATTATACCTGTAAATTTTTACCCATTTTTTGGTTTGCCACGAATGGTCAAAATTGATTTATTCAAAATGGTTTTTTTTTTGTAACAGCAATACTCAAGACTTTCTTTTTATGCACAGGAAAAAATCCCATCCCAAAAATCGGGAAGGAAATAAAAATCCCGTCCCGTCCCATCCCGAATTAAAAATTCAATCCCGTTCATCCCTAGAAAATAGATGTAATTGCACAAATAAACACATAACACATAGGTAGCCTTTTTGTAGCTACTAGCTCTGTCTTTAATAGTAGTCTTTCTATGTTCTTCCATTAGAGTCTTCTTCTTCCATTGGAAGTGTCTTCAGCAGTAGAACAAAGACTCAACTACCAAAGAAGGAGATAGTAGCTCTGAAAAGTCCATGTGTTTTTGCGTTTAGTTGTGCATTTCCATATATATTTGGTAGTAAGCCTGCCATTAAACCTATCAATTACAACATTCTTAAAAACCTTGGACTAAAGCCATCTTTACCAAAAACGATATTTATATATCTACAAATAAACATAAAAAAGCTTAATATTGATAGTCATATTACCTTTGACTTTAGATACACCAACCTTTAGATATTAAATTCTGCAAAAAGTTGTGGCCAATTTTGGAATAAAAGAGAAATTAGTTCAATAACTGAACCTTTGACACAGTTCGCCACAGTGAAATACTATTTATTCTTACACAACTACTTTTCATTCATTATAGACACGGGTTGGTTCATAAAATCAATTGTTAGTTTTACCGGTTTTCAGCAAAGAAAACCAAAACCAAGAATCAATGGAAAATGTTGGTTTCAGTTTTTGGTTGTGAATTTTGATGCAACAGTTTTGCTATGATCGTAGGAAACGAAGACAATGATGTCTCCACAATTGCAGTAGATGTTCAATCTTCAGGATAGTGCAGCAATCGTGAATTATCTACTCATGACATTACGAGTGATGCGAATAAAAGTGTAAGGAATAAAACAAATTTGTATTGTTTAAGGTAGCCTATTAAATACATACATTTTCTATCATTTATAAGAGAAAAGATTTTACCTGCAATAATCTTTTAATCAAAAATCCTACTGTTAACAATAAACCTTACACAAAGAAAAATATTATTAGTACCTAGGGCTAAAACGTGGGTAGTAACTTTGTTGTAAACAAAAATAACCGTAAACCGACAACTAATAAAAAATAAACCGAGCCGATGAAAATTGCGACCACACATCACTAATTCATGCCAAAGTAAAAATGGAAATTTATGTTAAACTGGAGGATCTTTTGTGTCCTCATTAACCATTATAGTATGAGAAAGCAACAGATAAAACAGAACTGTAATGACACATACTCTGTGATAAGTTCCATATATTATCTGCAGTATAAAAAGTCAAAGATATTACACAGAATGTTGTAACACAATGCTAGAATTATGTAAAAACAGGCTTAAAACCTATAAGGATTACAAACTACATTATCGATTCATTAAGACAATAACTTACGATTTTACATCCTAAATGGATTATAATTTTATGCCGTTAACTTACTGTTTTCAAAACTTAAATCTTGTTTTTGTACATGGACGTCTAAGGGTATTTGTACAATGAAACTGGGATGGTAGCTTACTCTTTCTCTAAATGAATAACGGACTGGAATTAGGGAGGTATATAATCACTCTGAACCTAATAGCTTCTTTAATGTAAGGAAGGATATCGATGATTGAAGATGATTTAAAGTTTACTTCCTAAAGCTGGGTTTTCCTAGGCGCGGAGTCGGCGAGCGGAGAGAGGAACGCGGAGAGCGGAATTGAAATTAACATGGCATTCCGCTCCGCTTCTAGGAAAACAGTAACATTAAATTGCCTAAGACAAGTGGAGTCCGCTATCCGCGTTCCTCTCTCCGCTTGCCGACTCCGCGCCTAGGAAAACCCGGCTTTAGTGGGTTTTGCTTTTGAATAACAAACGTCAGTTTGGCATTTAGTAAGGAAAGATAATGAAAAGATACATCATTTGTAGGCTAAGCAGTTAAGGAACCATCCAGTCAAGTTTCATTTTACAACTACATACAGGGATTAAGATATTTTATTAAATTAAAAATTTAGTTTTCCGCTAATTTTAGAAAGTTTTATGGCAAAATGTTCAAACTGATACGATGATACAAGATGAACTTAAAGTTTTAACATTAAGTTACCTGTAACATTTAGTTGCAGGTGATCATTAAACAACAGCTATTTTCACAGGGAATAGAGTATCTAATGTAGGTAAAAATTGTCTAAGTATCGGCAAAAGAGCTCACTTTGTGTTTAAGCATGAAAAGCGGGACTGCTACAATAGATAATTATTCAAATTAATTCTTCTAAGGGCTTGTATACATGAGGGCGATAGACGCCTTGTTTGTCAAACACGTGTTAGCTAAGTACCTAGGAACAAATGGGATCGTTCACATGCAAATGTGCGCTTTGAACCAATACGCTTGTAGTTTTCACTTCAACCGTTACGTTTGCAGTGTGCCTCGAGTTACTAGACTGACTGTACACATGAGATCACTAATCAGTCGAGCTCGCGTTTTTGGCCAGTTCTTACGTGAATTCATCTTTCCGTTTTGCGATCTGTGTGTGAATTGGGTAAACAATACACTTGGAAGCAATTGACACGCAGAATTGTTTATTGGTAAAGTCAAAAAGTATCTGGACCATGATTGGAGTGTCCAGATTATAAAAAAAATCTTTCTTTATAAGACTGCTTGGCAGTAGATTGTGGTCATATTTTCAGAAGAAAACAGTACTAAGGAAAAAAAGGACAGCTTTGAACCAAAGGAAAGAACCAATGAAACCATGGTTAATCTATAACAACCAAAGACATGTTAACTCTTCTAGCTTCATCGTTGCACTGAAGTAATGGACTGGTTGGTTCAACTAACACCGTGTCTAGCGCTGTCTTGTGTATGGTTTCACATTTTGCCAATGTGTGCGTCTAACGTCCTCATGTGCACAGGGTGTTAGTAAGTGAATTGATTTTTCTTTGAGGAGATGATATATTGCAAAGCAAATTATTCAAATGGTTTTTTTTATATGTTTGTTTGGTAAATCTTCTTTTTTTTGACAGTCCCGATTAAGAAATTGTTTATGCTCGCTTATTGCTATGCTTATATTGGCAGTTGAAATTGACAAAAGGATGATCAGTACTATATAGTTCAACAGAAATGTCCTAATAATCAGTCTCATTTGCTGAGTCAGGACTATTTAGGGTGGCAAAAAAGTTATAAAGTCACCAAAGTCAGAGCTACCAAACTTGGAGCAAAGTTACTGGGCATAAAAATGCATTTAACACATTATTCCTCCTAAGGGGGTTATAGGATTTCTTGAATTTTTAAAAATGTTGCCCATACAAGTAAACGTGGTTTCGTAACCAATTGCATATCCAAAAAATTCTAAACGGCTGCCACTTTAGGCTAGGTTGTACGTTTGAGTCCAAGTTTGCAGTATTAAACTCACTTATAACAACCTTTAATTTTTAGTGCAAATCAACCTAAGCTTACATTTAAGATTTTTTTCTACCTCCTAGCAGGGTCATCTCCCTAGGGAGGTAGTGTATAACCAAATAATGGGTTAAATGCTAATTGCTCAGTAACTTTCTTATTAGGCCTACTTAGCAAAATATTTTTTTGGGCTGGAGACGTTTTTGTCACCCGGTGTAACAATATTGCTGTTGTTGTGGAATCCAAACAGAAATTGTATGAATCTTGCAGCCTTAAGATAGGTTTAGAACATTTGTCCATAAAATTATTATTGTAAATGGTACTTGTAAAATGACATGAAAGACTCTAAAAAATGTTTCAGTCAGAATCTCTATGGACAAAACACTTCTTACATTGCACCTACATACATGTCACAATGTACATTTGTTTTCTACAAATTAATGAATTTATGATTAAAGTTTCAGCCAGTTTTTCGTACTGTGCCCAAAAGGACTAACTTATAGGTGGTGTTGACAAAATTGATCCCTCACGACCAATAACAATGTTAAACTTTTTAACAATAATACTTATAAAGTGTACGTTCAGATTGTGGAATCAGAATCGTCATTTGGTTTCCAAATGAGAATTTTTTTATCTTCTCCCCCGGAGAGGAGAATTGATCCATCTTCAGCTAGCGCCAAACATAGAACAGCACCTGGACACAAAAACAAACTGTTAGGGAATGGTCAAAACCTGTGTCTTTTACTATCTAATATCGACCATTAGTTTGTAGTCTTACCTTCATGAGCCTTGACTTGACGTGTTAGAGTGACGGATATCAAGTCCCAGGTGTAAACACAACCTTTGCTGTTTCCAAGCAGCAACATTGTACCATCCCAGTCCAAACACCTGTACATTCATTCATTTCATAATTGGGTTTAATAAATTTATTCCAGTATTTAACTACTACATCTTAAAGGAATATAAAGGTTGAATCCGATCCAAAACCATGTCCGCAAGGGCATCGTATGGATAAATATATTATTACATTACATTGACTCGTACATGAAAATCAAGCTGTGCATTAATAATTGAGAGACGTCATCTATCATTATCTCCTGCGGTCACAAAAACATTGTCATCGTCTTCCCTGATCGCGGACAGATCTTGAATATCTACCACAGTCGTGTAGACAATACAAAAGTAGGATATGTAACGGATAGTGTCGGATATAAAATTATGTGTAGACTTCAATAGAGATCCGACTACCATTTTGGAAAGAGAAGAGATAGCTGTTTTGTGCGCTGATGGCTGGGTAGTCAGGGACATATTTCTAAATGTCCCTGAGTGAGTCGGTGGGTCAGTCGGTAGCGTCAGGGACTTCGGGCCCAAGGCAGCAATGTTGTGGGTTCGGATCCTGGTTATTGCCAAAAAACATTTTACCAGTACAGATCACCTTTGTACTGTACCAGCTCACTCCTTGCTTTGCTGTATACAATCCACGTACGGGCAGTTAGTCTATGTGGACGGGCAAGTGCAAGGTTAAAAGAGAACGCCAACCTCTTTAAAAAAAAAGAAATAGGTGGACTAGGCGCGCGCCTAGGGTGGCAAATTTTAGGGGGCGGAAAAATTTTGGAAGATAAATAATCAAAAATGAGGTTTTAATCTAAAAAAATACTAAAACAATTAATTTTGCACTAAAACAAAAAATGCTATTTTAAAAACTTTTATTGAGTATATAATGATTTCAGAACATATTTTATTCAAGTCAAAGTCAATAATTTATCATATGGCTGTGCCGTGTTTTTCGTGCTGCCGTCGCTGCTCGCGGGCGCGGGCTACCGGTGGCTGGATACGGGTAGTGTAGGCCTACCCCCCCCTGCTATCGTTTGTTACTACACAGCAGCAGCGCATGACATTAAAAAAATAAAAGTAAGCCTATTTGTAATAATTGTAACTAAATGTGTTCAATGAAAAGCGTTATAAGAACCCTTGTATACAGACGTGTTTGTGTGCCGTTTACGCGCCTCAAAACGTGATTATGACTCTTCTGATTGGATACAAAACGTTGCATTCCATGTATGCAAAACAGAATTGCGTTTTGCATGAAAACGGGGAAACAAAAATGTTGCGCTGAAGAGGGTGGTGGGAGGGGGGGGCCGCTAACTTCGCTGCCTAGAGTCGGCAGATAGTTCAATATGTCCCTGTGGGTAGTTGGTTATGAAATTAATTTAATGAGTTTAAAGTTATTTGTGGATATTTTAAATGAAAACCACTGAGTTCACTGTTTATCCTGAATTTAATATTAAAACACAATAAAAAGACATAAATGATGTAAAAATTTTGGAATACACAATGTAGATTGATTGGAGAAACATGATAACAAATAACAATTAGCGGATTATATAAATGAGTGAATTTAATAGAAAAATACTGACGGAGGCGCTGTTTGCGTACCTGTCGCTTGAGTTTAGTTAAAACACTGACTACTACCCTCAAAAAACATCCCCTAGCCGTGACAAGCCGTGGGCAAGGGAAGGGATTTTTTAGAAAGCTACAAATTTCATGGGAGCTCTAACAATAGCGAATTCTGTAAGTTTTTGTAAACACTTCAAAATGAGCTGTGCCTTGAAGAGGGTTTACATTTAAAATGTTTGGGGTTGCCCCTAAAACCCCTCATTTTGGGGGGACACTAAACATTTTCAAAATCATAAATTGAAACTTCCTGCCAAGTTTGCACAACCATCAAAAAGGTATCTCTGTATATTTACTTATAAAAATATTAAATATTAGATGGGGTCTTGTTTTTTTATTCGCCCTATATGGACACAGTAAGTCTTGTACATTGACACAGATAGTATTGTACATGGACACAGATAGTTTTGTACATGGACACGGATAGTCTTGTACATGGACACAGATAATCTTGTATATGGACTCAGATAGTCTTGTATATGGAGTTTATTTTAATTATTTTATTTATTTATTTTATTTTAAAATACATCCCTATGACAAAACACCTGTTTTTATGTTTGAATTGGACTTTATGAAAAACGTTTTGTGTTAATAAAATAAAAAAATTGGACTATCAAAACTAGATCCAGTCCAAGATCCAATTTTTTATGGATCCAACCAGGCGTTGGTTCTAGCTCAGATCCGGTAGTCCGATATCCGGATATGACCATCACTAATCCAAGGATAAGGTGGGGCGCAAAACAACTATAAATAAAGCTTGAATGAATTTACTAGTCCCCCAGATGAGTGCAAGACTAATAATGCCATAATTTCTTGAGTTATAAGCCAATAACTTACTTGAGTTGGTCGTCCAGTTCTTTGTAGAATGTTTGCATTCCTCCACATGTCAAGTCAAATAGTCTAAATGTTTGGTCATCTCCACAAGACACTAGCTTCTTGCCATCAGGACTAAACTTGATACAATTCACAGTGTTTGTGTGTTCTGTAACAAGTTATAATCAAGATATAATTATACTAATGATATGCAAAACAAACATGTTTAGCTAATTTCCCATATAGAGAATAAGCTATTACCGTAGGTCGCTTAGTAATACCTAGACCCAGGATCGATTTACTTTTTGTTTTGAGGTCCCCGTAGGCCAAAAACACCCTCCGTTCAAATTCATCTTACTAATATTATAAATGTGAAAGTTTGTGTTTTTGTTTTTTGTTTGTTTGTTTGTTTGAAGTTCAATCACGCATTAACTACTGTATGGATTGGGTTTAAATTTGGCATGATGATAGCTCACATTACCGATTAACATATAGGCATATTCTTACCTCAAAAATCCATTCGGGCTCCGCCCCAATGGCTCTGTGGTTCTCCATGTTAACCTTATGAGTATCTATATATTAATTTGAAACTGTTTTTCTTTGTCATAGCTAAATTGAGAGAACGGCTGGGCGTAGAAACTCGGTAGAGGTGTCTACAGAAAGGTCTTGGTTTGTAGATGAGCCATCAAAAGAGAAACGTGGTAAATTCCCTTGGGGCTCTGCCCCAGTGGCCTTTGAATTCCCATCCCATGTTATTCTTATGGAGAAAAAACTGGGTTTTTGTCCCAGCTAATTTGAGAGAACGGCTGGGCGTAGAAACTTGGTAGGGGTCTCTAAAGAAAGATCTTGGTCTATAGATGAGCCATCAAAAGAGGAACGAGGTAAATTCTCTTGGGGCTCTGCCCCAGAAGCCTTTAAAGTTGCCTCTTCAAATTTGTTTACCATATGCATAATTCTACACTACTTTTTAATGAAACAGCTGTTAATATTTAAATTGTGATTTATTGAATTTTTCAAAATGAAGTAGAGTATTTGCAATGGGTTTTCCTGATTTTAAAATTGATTTTATTCTGCATCGTGTCATGTTTTGCAATGTAATGTTCTATTACCAAATCAGTGGAAAATACTAATTTCACAGTAACTCTTAAAATTATTTCTTATGGAGTTAACTTATATCTATTGTATGGCTTGGTTTCTGCCTTTTTTTACCACTTCTTGGAGATTGTACATAGGTGATATTCTTTGGCGTATTGCATCAGTAGATGAAACTTGGGTTGGTGAAATTATTACAATGGAAAAAAGCGAGAAATCCTGTACAATTTGATATAGGCTAAAAATAAAACTAAATATGCTACATTTCTTGAGCAATCATTGAAATAACCGATTTGCAAACAATAGAAACATAGAAAAAGTCATAGAACACAACCAAGTAGAAGAAAAGAAATCATGTTTTTTTTTTCATTTATAATCGTTATTATAGACAACCTAATGCAGCTATGAGAGGGAAAAATTTGTAGAAACACTAAAAAACAAGATCAGCTTTTTGAGAAAAGATAAGATATTTACAAAAGATTTTTATTATATCTAACTGTTGCGTAGATCGTGAGTATTACCATAATCTTCGTGAGTCGCCTGTAATGCTTCGCAATAGCTTGAATTCGAGCAACAGGTAAACTAGTTCATATTTAAAGGGAATTAAAGAATTTAGTCAGCTGTTTCAACTAAAAAAATTGGTTCTATGATATGCAAAAGCATTAAAAAGTTATAAAATTTACCAACAGGGTGCAGCAAAATATTTTTTTTGCATTTATGAAAACAGCTAATTTGAACTAAGCAGCAACAAAAAACTGTGATACGCAATGAGAACTAACTGTCAAAGTAGGATTGTTTACAGTTGTTTCTGGTTTTAGTTTCATTAATAATTTGTGATATTTTGATAATTTTTTTTCTATTGTTTAGGTGAAGTGGTAAAACAATATGTCTATGGTAGATGTGTAATACTATAGAATACTGTAAATTGAAAGAAGCAAATTTGATCAAACTGTGTTTTCCCTCATTGCTCATATTTAAAGAGAATTAAAGAATTTAGTCAGCTGTTTCAACTAAAAAAATTGGTTCTATGATATGCAAAAGCATTAAAAAGTTATAAAATTTACCAACAGGGTGCAGCAAAATATTTTTTTGCATTTATGAAACGCAGAGGATACGCGTCCGGTAACCGGACGTGGATTAGGCGTCCGGCAGTTACTGTCATAACCTAACCTAACCAACCAAACTTGCTGATAGTGAAAAAAATCAAATGAAGGTTCCATTCTCATCATAACATAAAATTATAAATGCCAAAAATTCTAACAAAAGATGTACAGTTAAGAAGAAATTACATTCAAAGAAAAATCTGTGACAAAAAGTTAAAGTTACCGATAGGTTTTGAACCGGGGTCCTCTCGCATATCAGTCGAGCACTCTATCCACTACACCACGAACACTGATGGCTGAACATCGTATCATTGTGGTAATGGCGTTCCGGGACCCCCTACCGGACGCCTAATCCACGTCTGGTTACCGGACGCCTAATCCACGTCCGGTTACCGGACGCGTATCCTCTGTGTTTATGAAAACAGCTAATTTGAACTAAGCAGCAACAAAAAACTGTGATACGCAATGAGAACTAACTGTCAAAGTAGGATTGTTTACAGTTGTTTCTGGTTTTAGTTTCATTAATAATTTGTGATATTTTGATAATTTTTTTTTTCTATTGTTTAGGTGAAGTGGTAAAACAATATGTCTATGGTAGATGTGTAATACTATAGAATACTGTAAATTGAAAGAAGCAAATTTGATCAAACTGTGTTTTTCCTCATTGCAAACGCAAAGCTTGAGTATAACTGCAAAAAACATTTTATACTTATATGCCAACCCCGTACGAAGGACAGGTGCTCTGCTAGTATATATATATATATTAAATATATATATATTTTTATTTATTTATCCTTTTTCCTTATATACATGTGTTCGTTGCATAACTTAGCAAAATTGATCCGATTTTGATCAAATTTTGTACAAATCTGTAAACCTCCGTATATTTGAACAAATTAGCATGATCGGACTATGGGAATCGGGGGTTTTATGCAGTAAAAACTGGTTTTTCCTATTTGTTACCCTAAAAACATAAACTTTCACAATTTCTTTCCAAACCATTTTGTGGAACTTAAAAAAATAAATAAATTTGTGCATTGAAGTGTTGTTGTATGCTTAATGGTTACAGAGATAATTATAAAAACTTTAAATTTAAAATTCCCTCGTAATTCTTATCAAGAATAAATAAACTGATGCAGTTCGATTGTTTATGGATATATTTTAATCAAATTTGGCATTTTTTTATTTCATACTAAGCTATCAACATACCAATAAAAACACACCTAAATACCTTCCCTGTAGCAGCAAACCTAGGTACTCATTAAAAATAAAGTGATTTAAATGGGAAATAAATCTGACAATTTTCAGGAAATACTTTAGTAGATATCCAGCCAGGTAAATGTCAATTCGCTTAGTCTGCAGGTTTGCTGCGGCAGGGGTATTGTGTAATTAAAGGAGGCATAATAGTGCTCTGTCACTATCTTATTGCTCTAAAAAAATTATCTATATTTTTCTCTAACCTGGCACTTTGTTGTTATTATTAAAAGAAAGCAGAGCCCCTAAACAATAACAACAAAGTTAATACCCCCTGCTGAAGGATACCTGCTGACTAAGTGAATTTCCATTTGCCTGATTGGATTTTCACTCTAATATTTCCTTAAAGTGTTTAGATTTATTCCCTATTTAACCCATTAAGGAAGCAGTATACTTGATTCCTAACAGCCCTTCAGGAGGCAGTTAAAATCAGCTGTTTTGCAGGCGATTGGTAAAACTTTTGTAAAACAGTTAGTAATAGTGATAAACTAATAATTTTTTTTTTTATTTTGTAGAAAACTTTCTGTTCTTTAAGAAAAGTATATAGTTATTGAGCATATGAAAAAAAAATTTTATAAAAAAAATCATAATAAAAATAAAAAAATAAAAAAATTTTAAATTTCAAAAGCAAAGTGAAATAAAAATTATTTTGAACTGTATAAACCATCATAACTATATATTTTCTGAAACTTCATTTTATTTTTTACGTGGAAAAAAAAAATTACCCTTATATCTATAAAAATAAACATGCAATAAAAAGTTTTGTGATTACTTACAATTCTGCATTTTGATGCGATTTCAGCAACATTTGGTCGTCATGGAAAATTACATTGAAATAAAATGTATAAACACTGGGTTCATTAGTTCATTAGTCACTAAGTTCTATTTACACTATATACATGTTCAACTACAGGATTTTAGTAGTTCAGCTTGGTGTGAAATGCCACAAAACATTTCTCAAGATGCAGCGGAACTTTACACCGTTCGCACATCCATGCAGTCTCAGACCTCTTCTTGTTTGCTGTACATACTTTACAAGCTCTTGTTGGATGAAGTTTACTTTCTGTGGGTGGGACCTTCATAGGAAAATGTGCCCACTGCTTTGACTGAAGGCGCAATGGGGACGGATTAATTGGGGCTTTTCCAGGCGACGTCTTGGCTGGAATCGTAACTGAGGTCAAAATCTGTTCGACTAGGTTTAGTCGAAAGTCAGTGAAATGCATCTTTTTTATCTTCTTGATTTTCTTGAAAATGCAGAATGCATTGTAGAGTGTCATATCAAGAAGATAAAAAAAAATCTTCTTATAGGCCTTCACAGTTCTCCTCATTATAGGAAAGGTCGACAAGACCTGATCCTGTCGATCTACACCCAACATACCTTGGTTGTAGTCGATGACACATTTAGGTTTTTTTATTTCTACTTGTTGGTCTCCTTCATTCACAATTTTGGATACTTCCATATCAATGTCTTCGTGTACAGTTGATATCATATGTACATGTTTGCGATCGCTCCATTTCACAGCAAGTACGCCCCGACCAGATCGTTTGATCGCTTCCCCCTTTTGCAGCTCAACATGCTTGAATACTTGTGGCATACATCTCCTTTTCAATAAAGCAGTACCCACAGCATGTGTATCCTTTTCAATGAGCTTAGTATACAGGAGGGGGGAGGAATACCAATTATCAAGGTAGACAACATACCCCATTCCCCAAAAAGGCT